CCACTCATTTGAAATAAACATTGCTTGTAGTTGTTGCTTCAAATTAAACATACTCTCCAAGGTCAAAAAGACCGTGGCAAATCGGGTGGCTACAGGTTGAACGAAATATTTTATTTGCAAACTTCCTTGCTAAGCTCAATACCCATTGATGATTGTGTGAAATTGGTAACTCGTTTTGCTTTGAGCAAAGCATTTTTAAATTGAGGCAATTCCCTGATTTTCTCAAGCATCAAATCGATGCAATGAGCATGTGATAACCAGGTTATGGTTATACATTTGAGGTATTTATTATGAGTATGTGATTAATTGTTATAATCCATGATGTGGGTATATGCATATCTATGTGAAAATGTGCATCATGTATATGCATGCATGGAATGTTGATGTGAGTATGTGCATATTTTATATGCATGCCTGCATGGGTTTGTATATATATATATATATATATGTGTGTGTGTGTGTGTGTATGTGTATATATGTATATACATGCATGAACTGGTGAGGGGTAAATATGCATGTATATGTGAGGTGCATATGTGCATTGTGTGAAGAAGGGAAAAGAATTTTATATTCTTTAACCGCTTGTTTAGGAAAGTATAAAAAGAGAAGGGTTTTTGAAGAAGAACCTTTCCTGCCATTTTTGGAAAGCTTCAAAAGAGTGAAAGGAAGTTTCTGTGTGAATCCTTGCTAAAAGTAGAAGCTGATTTGTGGGATCAAAGTTGAAGCTATTCTAATTGTTGTTTTCATCCTCAAATTTTATTATCTGCTTAAAGGTGAGTTTTTACAAACAACCTTTGAATTTGATTATGGATATTGGTTTTTCATGATTTTAATCTGCTCGTGTATGTATATTGTATATATGTTCTTGCTTAATTGCATGGTCCGATAAGGGCTTGTTATCGGACACTGTGTTGTCCAATGAGAGTCCCTTATCGGTCATGCCTTGACCGATGAGGGAGTTGGGTATTTTATGCATCGTCCGGTGAGGACTTACCGGACGAAGTGTTGTCCGGTGAAGGCCTTTATCGGACAAGAGTCGTCCGGATTGGGCCTTTTATTGCCCAGGTGTTGAACGGTTTAATGTTTGGGGTTTTAAAGTGTTGACCAGATTGGGGTTATCGTCCAACGTCTTGTCCGATGAGGATGCTCATCGGACAAAACGTTGTCCGGGTTAAATTTTGATGTTTTAAAGTGTTTAACGGTGAGGTTGTTATCGGACACAGTGTTGACCTGTGAGGTTGTTACCGAACATATTGTTGACCGGTGAGTATGTTTATATTTTCCAAGTGTTGTCCGAATAGTGTTGTCCGATGAGAGGTTATCGGCCATAGAGTTGGTCGATTAGGGGCAGTCATCGCCCGGAGCTTGTCCGATGAAGATTGTTGTTTTCCAAAATATTGATTAACAGTTTCAAAACTATTTTGAGTTGTGAAGGGTAACCTGTATCTTTCAAATGTTGATTTTAAATTGAGGAAAGGTACTGTTGTTTTCTTTCAAACTGTTGACATGAGAAAATTGTTTCTAAAAGAAATATTGAGATGAGAATGAAAAGTGGATTTAAGAACTGTGAGAGTTCTTGAGATAAAGTTTCTGATATGAAACTGTTTTGAAGCCATTATTTGGCTAAAACTACAGATTTATCTGTAGATTTAATGAGGAGACAAGGGTGACATATCAAGAAGAGGTGTATCATGGGATAAGGGTGGCATATCAAGGAAAGGTGTACATTTGGATAAGGGTGGCATTTGTGTGTATTACTGTTATAGCTTTGTGTTACATCCGTAAGATGCGATAATTCTGAGTCAACATTTCTTTGTAACATGAAGACTTGGAAATATTGCTCTTATTGAAATGATAACAACGATGTTATTGAGAAGGGGAAAAGGCTTATAGCCAGAGGCATTAATTGCTCATGTTTCAAATGATTTTGTGATATCAGATATCCTATTTTGATTATCCAAAAGAGTAGAGATTTGAAATAAAACCCAGAGGGTCTTTGGTTATTATTTAATTCAGTTTTCATTTGAGCTTAAAACTGTTTTTATCTTAAAAGCTTTTGATAATAACCAAGAACTCTAGTGATTGGTATTTCTTGGTATGATTTGGAGGTTGAGATTGTTAGCTCTAGTCTGATGAGACTTGAGATTGTAAGCTCTAGTCTGATGAACTATTACATATCATATCACCAAGAAACTATCGTGATCACAGCATATGTATCCAGTATGCATAAAAAGTAAAAACAGTGTATTTTTTTAGTGTTTATGCGTAAAAAATACAAAAACAAAACAATCTTTACAGTTTACACATTACAGAACATGCAGCAAACAAAAAGAAGGTTTAGAAAACTTACCGGTTATGAATGAATCATAGAAGCAATAGATGGAATTGGCTGGAAGTTGGATACTTGGTGCAAACCAGAACCAGAAATAGATGGAATCTTGGTGCAAACCAGAAATCGATGGACTCTTGGTAAACCAGAAATCGATGGACTCTTGGTAAACCAGAAATCGATGACTCTTGGTAAACCAGAAATCGATGGACTCTTGGTAAACCAGAAATCGATGACTCTTGGTAAACCAGAAATCGATGGACTCTTGGTGAAGTCGATGTTTGGTATTGAATCCGTTCATCAATTTATAGGCAGAAGGAATCAATTAGGCTCGATTAGGAAAGCTGAAGATATCGTTTATTAAGGAGAAGATAAAGAATTCGGTTAATAATATAGAAAAAAGAGGAAGAAGATATCGCTTATTGAGGTAGAAAATATCGATGGTTCAGTTTCCTAATGATATTGGGTTTTTTTAAGTTTTAATCATATCCTTAAATTAAAAATAGAAAAATATACAAAACTTGATACACGGATGCCTCACCACCGCCTCACCTATCAAGGCGTACGTTCAGCTTCCACTTACAGGGGCTTACGAGTTGGAACAATTTTTGCCCGTTTCGCCCTGAGGCATGCCTCTGGCGTTTTTTAACATCATGGTTAAACTAAAACATTTTTAAGTGTTATAATCTGTATTTTTTTCTCAATAAAGAGAGCAATAGGTGGGTTGGATGGAACTCTTGTACATGCAGTCTTGTCCATCTATCAACAAGCTTGTTATAGAGGTAGAGGACCGTTTTAGGAATTTGTGATTTTAATATGTTATTCATGTATGTTTGGGCAAGAGGGCGTAATACATGATGCTAAATTGTTAAGAGAAGTTGCATTTAAACCAACGTCTAGCTCTTTGTTTCCTCCATGATCAGTTATGGATTACGACAATGACCCCATCTTTATTGTCGAAGGACAAGAAAAAATTTAGGGAGGCGAGGAAGAAGACATGAATGGAACGCCTTGGAGTTCTCAAGACAATGAATACATGGCTAATTTACGTGAACAAATTGTAAATTAGTTAGTATTAGATGATTCAAATTAAGAAGTATTCAGAAACTATTAGATTGTTATGTTTTTGCTTAATCTAGAACTTGAACACGTAATGTTGTGTTTGTTTCAAGGGAAAAGTCCAGAAGAACCAAATAAACATCCCCATTTTGAATGATTAAATTCGTGAACTTTTTTTTGAATAAATAAGACAATGAACTTTCTCATTTTGAATAATCAAGTCCTAAAACCTTTTTTTGAATAAATAAACCATCGAACTTCTACAAATTGGTTACACATCATTTTAATCCAAAAAAACTCCTTATAAACGGCTAGGAAGGTTTTAAAGTGAAAAAAACCTAAATCAGTTTTACCATTCCCAAATCCTATGCCATTCAAACCCTCGCAGCCAACACCATCGCTCCCCCGCAGCCCCACCATCGTCCACTCTCTATCACCGCCGTTGGCCCCTACCGACAATCTCCCTCTTTTTGAACTTTTTTTGTTTTCCGATTCTCCCACTTTTTTGATATGTCTATATATATTCCATTAAATTGTTGGAAAAGCGGGAGAACCAAAAGACAAAAAAAAACTGATCAAAAGGAGAGAAATTGACGGCCGAGGCAACAACGGCGATGGCAGGTGATGGAGAGCAAACGACTATAGGGCAATAGAGAGTGGCGCGAGGAGCGAATATGTGATGTCGTGGGAAGCAAGGGGTTTGAATTGGGGTAGGGTTTGGAAATGGTAAAATTGATTTACATTTTTTTTACTTTAAAACCTTTGTAGCCGGTTACAAGTAGGTTTTTGAGTTAAAACTTAAAAGGATGTAAACCAATTTCTAAATGTTCATTAGTTTATTTATTCAAAAAAAAGGACTTAATCATTCAAAATGAGAAAGTTCAATGGCTTATTTGTTCAAAAAAAAGTTTAGGGACTTGATCATTCAAAAGGGGCAAGTTCATTTGGTTTTTCTGAACTTTTCCCTTGTTTGAACAAATATTACATGTTATTTTGAATGAATAATTTGCAGTGTCGTATACGGTAATTTATATTTTTTGTAATTAATAATTATAAAGTTATATATGCAAGATAATTGTTTATTTCAGAATATTACCAAACAATTATATTTCATTCAGCACTAAATCATATAAAGGGTTAAGGTGGTAATTTCTGTCATTTAAATTGTCCATTCAGAACACTTACCAAACAGTCACTTTTCAATCAGTACTAAATTATACAGAGCCTCTTAATCATGCTTAATCATTTTGCAACAAATCATCCAGCAAGTGCCAAACAGCCCTTAATACACCTCACAATCAAATAAATGAGACCCAAAAACCACATCTTTGCTCACCTCATATAAGGCAGCATGAAAATGTGGAAAAGTTAAGCAACCTAAAGCAATGAAACCTTGTCTTTAACTCAAGATCATGTTTCTTTTGCAAGTGTACAGATGGTACAGAGTAGTACAAAGGCAGCTACCACCCTACTAGTGACAATGTAATTCTATTGCCAAGATGTTTTAAAGATTCCATTGCATATATATTTGTTTTATTGTTTATTTTATTTCACATATTACTGTTTCCTACTTGCCGAAGTCATTGTGTTGGGAAATGTAGTGTAAACTTACATGATTGCAGCTGCAGCCTATTCCCTTGATGGTTCAGTTGAAACATCAAAACCAGGAGGGATGAAGACAACATCATCCCATACAGTCGTAGAATCATCCTGCAAAGTTAATTTAATGTGAAACATTTATACAGCATAGAAAGCACAGAACACCTAAGAAAATCTTTGAGACCAAAGTTTACGGCCATCAAATGTAGAGATTGAAGAGCAATGATAACATTAGGTAGTCACTCATGCTTCATCTTTATCTCATCAACTGCCAACAGCCAACTTTCCAGTGCTACCTTGTGAAGTTCCAATTTTTTGATTTGACAGCCCTAAACTTAAGTCATGAAATTTGGGGTAACAAGTCAACTGCTTAGCATCATAACCCTCTATCTTGGAATTGTTAGAAGTGCTTTTTTATTTTACTTAACATGAGTAGAGATACACAAGGCACAAGAAAATTGCAATAGATAGAAATTCCTAACCTTCATTCCATGTATTATATCCTCAAGAACAGCCACCTGCAGAAGAAATTAAAAGGTGGTTTAAAAAAGTGAGCTAATCCAAGAATGGGAGATCAAAGCAGTTACTGTTAAATATGGAGCCTAATTTGGATTGTAAACCAGTCTAAAGCCCCATGCCCAATATTATGTTCAATTGATTACTATTTTGTGTGATTATAGATCCTAATAGTTAAAACCATACCTCAAGATCATCCACCCTAAGGGCAGGATTCAAACGCCTTTGCTGACCAGAAGCTTTTATTAGAGACTTTTCCAGGTCCTCCTACATGGTACACGAGAAGAAGACAGAATGAATGTGGATAATTTTCAAACTATTATAACAAAGCAGAGGATTAAGACAGTTCTGCTAACCTTTCTGAAAAAAGCAGGACGGTATCTATTGTTTTCGCTCCTCAGTACCAAGCTCCTTGACTGCATGCACATAATGTCTTACTATTGAATCAAAAGCATATCCCTACATCTACACTTAAAGAAATACCCGCATTGCTCGGCAATAGACAAACGTCTATAGTTGAAAACATATCATTGGAGCTCAATCAACATGTCAATATGTCTATTATAAGTTTCTCTCAGTCCAATCAATCAATTGGAAATATGTGGCATATAACAGCATATTGTATGTAAGACTGCATATTCTTTGTGTGTTTTATAGTGATGAATGGTAATGCCTTTTTGTTCAGATGTAACTTGAAGTTGTTTATATTACCATATAAATATATTTCTGTCTCAGAAGTATGAGAGATCAACGATGGGTAGAAATGAAGTTAATACAAAGAAAAAATATTTAACCTGGAAAACAGGAACACCAGAGAAGTTGTCATCCGATACACCAGCCCTGCGTCTTGCCTAGAGAGAAGAACATGAAGTATCACTTACAACTTTGAACATGCCAAACAAGATGAGAAACTATTCAGGCAATTTATGTTAGAAGAGGTTGTCTGCAACCTTCCACAGCATGTAGAAGTTCTATTTTAACTAAAGATTTTAGAAAATGGAAGCACATGATTAGTCAAATCTTTAATCAAGTGAATTATCAACTATTCATTTCAAGGTTTCAACTCTGTTCAGTAATATGTTTTTTTTTTCTTTTTAAGAAATGATCATATTCATTTCAAAATATACTACAAACACGGAGGGCAATTGACATGGTGATCAAGTATATTAGAACATATACACCCATTATGCATACAAGTGGTTCATATTTATATAACACCAAATGAGAAAGTAAGCTTAAGGTTAGTAACAATAAAGACATATACTTCTATGTTTTTATGTTTTGAGATCTTGAAGGTTGCAACTTGTCGTCTTTGGATGTTCAACTGGTGTGTTGGGATTCATTTTGTTGTATGTTCTCTTTCCTAATAGCATAATCTTGTGTAATTACAAGCCTCAATTCTATATATGTATTTGTTACATTTTATCATCACAATTGGTAAAAACAAGAAAAACAAAAGGAACCAAAAATGGTACTGAGCTAATCAACTTTTGATCTGAATCAGGTGGGGCCTTGGAGAGGTAGGATGTTGGCAGACCTGCCTTCTACCCCCGAGAGTAGAGTGGTTGTTTCGTGAAGATCCTGACTTGCAAAAACTGAGTGTGAAAAAGAAGGTTTGCTAAAAGAGTCCTGAATACTTCGGGAAAAAAAAAGACGTGGGAAAAGGAAAGAAGATTAAGACAATAGACGAAAACTGAAAAGAAAACTAAGCTAGAAAAAAGTGTGCCACAAAATATAATCATAAGTAGGTACAAAAGAACATAACGAAGGTAAGGCAATAAGGCATCCTCTGGTGTATATTAGGATTCTGGTAGCCTATCTCCCAGCTCACCACCCTACACCCCCCACCCTATACCACTCCAGCACCCTTCCTCCCGATTAGACTAGCTACAAGTCTCTACCCCTAGTCTGTTTTGCTTCTCCAAGAACTCGTATCAGAGGTCATATCCTCGGAAATGCTTAAGGCTCCCATGTCTATCCTTAGTTTCTCTCCAACCACCCCTATCAGGGTTCTAGTAGACAAAGAACCTAAACTGAAAGACGGTCAAAGATATTACTTCTGAAAAAGCACAAGATCGAATTACTTCATAACACTAAAAATACAATAATAATAATAATAATAATATATTTGCTTGCACTCCAAAATGGCATCTACCAATTAACTCAATAAAACATAAATAAGATATACATATATACAGGTGAATCACAATATAGCATCAGTGCTAATTGGAAGTCGAAACAGAACCCATAAACCACAAAGAGTATGCAAAAATTTCAAACCCTTTGTCTATATGTAAAATAACTCACCTCAATTGCATTCTTTATCTGTGACAACTCTGGAATAAACCTAAAGGAAACCCCATTAACTTTAAGCTGGAAAACCTGCCAGAACAATCACAAGTTTAGGTCAAACCAAATCTGCCAAATTAGTCATCACTACATAAATATAAAAACATACACCCTAGAGTGTCACAATAAGCATAGTTGCACAATAAGTGTGCATTGCAAATTGCAATGTCCTTATCCTTGGATATCAGTCTGCATGTATCCTTATTATACACCAACCGCTGAATGGAGGGAGTAATTGCATATACATAACCCGATCATTCTAAAATATAGCGTGCCTTCTTTCAAAATGCTCCTGTTAGAATATTGATATCCTATTAAATGGCCTTGACTATTTAGTTATCAAATTTGTGTATTACCTAATCAATCAATTTAAGACCCTGCTTATGTGTAATTTCTATATGGACCCTAGAGGGGTTATCATCTTGATGGACAATATTCCATGATATCCTACAATAGGGTTGGTCCCCACTTCCACTGTCATTTTTAAGACCACCATATTTTTTAAGGTTTATTCTATCTAGGTTCTCAAAGGAAAATAAGATAAGATCCATTTAAGTTCATTTGCTATTCAAGATATTCTTAAGGATGGTTTCAATATCATCAAGCAAGTGACTACGTGAATACTTCATTTGATTATCATCATAAGGAACTGACTATGAGTCGTGGTGTTGATCATCACTTACAAGCTTAACAACTCCCTTTCAAATAAAATATCAGCATTTCAGCAGTTTGGGGCACAAATTATTGCTTTCCAACCATAAGGTGGTGTCCGATTGGTTTGAGCTTGGGCTCCAAAGGTCAAAAGTGCCTGGAGGTCGCACGTTCGAATCCAAGGAGGAATAAAAATCCCCTTGTGACCACGAAGGTTCAAATGCGTTGACTCCAGGCTAACCGCAAAGCGGGTGGTCGCCCTAGGATTAGTTGGCTCACATAGCGGGTTGGATATAAAAAAAAAACTATTGCTTTCCAAATTCAAATTTCATATGCTTATAGTTACTGAGCTAACAAAAATAATCACAATATTTGTATCATCAATAGAAAGTGGTTGGGGAATTTTCGTTTGAAAATACAGAAAGCATTTCAAATAGAAGATGAAAAATCAAAGAGTTTGGCCTCCATAATCGAAAGGCGTTGTCTTCTTTGGAACCAGGGGAAGCTACAAATTTGTAGAATTCGCTAAGTTCATTTGAATTGAGACTGTTAACGTTTAAGATGCACGATTCAAATTCCTAGTAGGTGGAGAACAATTTTCGAAATTACCATGCCGAGAGCGATGGGGACTACTTTCGAGCCAGGGCGCATTCTAGGATCTATGGCTTTCATTTGTCCAAGAAGTGTCTTGGCATCTTCTTCCTTGAAACACAACAACCCTAGTGACTTTCCAGTATTTTGACCCGAAACCACAACAAATTCCTCCGAAGAATTGCTAAGAGCGTATACGGGCACGCCCGCCAACCTCTTTTCGATATCCTCATCCGACAAGCCGACACCAGTACCGGTAGCAACAGTCTTATCGACCGCAATTCGAGCCCATAAAGGGTTTTTGGCAAAAGATAAAGAACGACTCGATTGTCTAGCATTATTTCCATTCTCAGTCAGGGTAAATTCGAAATTAAATTTGCCAGAATCAGGTTTGGGGTTAACGAAGGGGGGGCTAAAGAACTTGTATTGATTGAGATGTTGGAAAAATGAAGAACATTGGTTTTGGAGTTTATTAACAGCTTGCTGCAAGTTGAATTGAGGCGCCTTTGGTGGCGTTGCCGGCGAGGAAGATGACGAATGAGCGGAACTGCGAATATCCATTTGTTCTGCCGGTGGTTTCCAACGAAGAAGAACGTGGGGTTTGGGGTTTGGGGTTTTGGGTTTTGAAGGTTTTTGAAAATTGTCATAGAGATAAAAAGAAGATGCAATATATTTTCTAGAGTGAAAATTACATGTTTGGTCCCTGTGTGGATTATATTTTTATTGGATTAGGCCTTCAAATTAAAATAATTATGAATTTGGGACATGTGGTTTGCATTTTTGTGCTCCTTGAAGCCTCTCCCTAATTTTGTTAGAATGAGAGACAGTTTTAGGGGATGTTTACCAAGTTTTGTGGGTGTTCACTAGAATAAGATGCTTGATTAAAATGAAAGCTTTGATCTAAGTAAGTGTGGACGAAAAATTGGTGTTTATAAAATGATTTGTATTAAGCGTCAATAGAGTTAAAAAAAAACAAGTATACCCCTTATTCCATCATGGCATCATCTGGTCTTCTCTCTGTTTTAATCCTAATGCACTACTCTTTTTGCTATAATCACAAGACACTTCTCTCTCCATTAACCCCAAGTCGAAGTAGTAGTAGAAGACCGGCGATAGAGTGGGAAGTCGAAGGAGAAGCAGGTCTAGTCGTCGGCCATCTGAAATCTTCCCGTCATTTGAAATCGAAGTAGAATTTGTCTCTATTGTTCGAATCCCTATGCTTCGAAGTTTGAAATCGAAGCAGATTTGAAATCGAAGTCGTCCAAGTTGTTCGATCCTTGTGCTTCGTCGTTTGAAATTGAAGCAGATCTGAAATCGAAGTCGGCCCTATGGTTCGATCCCTGTGCTTCGTCGTTTGAATCTTCCCAATCCTTGTAACTCCATCAATCCCATGTGAGTGAAGTTTTTTTTTCATTAGGGTTTGTTGATCCTCTCTCTCAGTGATTTGATGATAATCTCTTTTCACTTATACGTTGTATTTATGTTTTTGTCTTTTCAATTCCAGCAATCTTCATTGAGTCTGTTCAGTGATCGCTGAAGAACTTGTATTGTAAATCAATCAGAGACAACGATACTTCAAGAAGACAACACTCACACCAAAGAACCTTCAGCAAATGTCGAAGACTGAAATTGAAGATTAGAGACTGGCGAGTACGTGATCTGAAGCGGTACTCAGTGATTACAAGCATGTCTACATATGTGTGAAGACTGTTCAAGTCTCAGCAAATGATGAAGAGACCTTCAGGTCATTCCAACATTCAACGATCAAAGGAAGCTAGTTTAGCACGATTGTTGTTGTCTTGTTCTTATGCACACAAAGGACTTTCATAAGGTACGGAGCCGACTACTCGACTCTATTGTCCACCAACTTTAGGTAAGGATGTCTGCTCATGAATAGTGTTTTTGTACTATTCACTGTAGCAAAGGACAAGCCTTTCTCTTAAGGCATGACACGCACTCTAACCCTACTATATTGCATTAAATGAACATTTAATGCACTGAGTATAAATAGAAGTGTTTCTTCTCCATGCAGAGTGCGCGCAACTCACTCTCTAACCCTAATTCTTACTTCAAGCATTTTCTAGCTTAAGTAAAGGATATTCTTTACAACATTTCTTTTCTTGTATTGCTAAGATTTCGTGTGTAACCAAAGATTGTTTAGATAGTTTTTTTATCACCTTATCTTTCCACAAACAATCTTGTAAAATATGTATTGATCTTCTTTATCAATATATATTTTAAATTTGAAAATATTGTGTTTGTATTCATCCCCCCTTCTACAAACTGTTTTTACTATTCTTGTAGACCCTCAAGGGACCAACAAGTGGTATCAGAGCAGTGTTTTCTTCTCTCTCTTTCCGTTTAGCTATTTTCAGTATTAGTTTATCTCTTTTGTTAGATAACTTTACCGCTTACAAATGGCTTTACAAATTACAAACACACACACAAGACAATGACTCTCTTGCCAAATCTCCCCGGTTTGTTCGTGACAACTTTAGTCTCTGGAAGAACCCGATGTCCCTCTTTCTTGAAGGTGTGAATCCTGAAATTCCACATTATATAGAAAATGGACCATATATTCCATTTGCTATTGCTCCGGCTGTTCCAGCAACAGCTACGACTGCCGCAATTCCTGAATGGCAGATTCCAAAGCTCCCACATCAATGGATCGATGAAGACAAGAAGAAAATAGCTATAGACACGCGTGCTCGGTCTATAATAGCTATGTCTCTTCTTGATGAGATTTATCACTCAGTGATGAAACTCAAATCTTCTAAATCCATGTGGGACACACTTTGTGTCCAATATGAAGGAACCACTCAGGTTCAAGAGACAAGAAAGATCAATTTAGTAAGACAGTATGAAAGCTTTCTCTGTGGAAAGTCTGAGACGCTGTCTGAATTACATCAAAGATTTAACTGCCTTCTTATTGATCTTAGGGCTGTCGGCAGGGAATATTCTAATTCTGAAACTTTAACCAAGTTTCTAGAATGCCTTCCTGAGTCTTGGGACACCTTTTCCATGTGTCTCAAGATGTCCAATGACATGTCCATTCTTTCTCTTTCTACTTTATACGGGATTCTGCTTAACCATGAGCAATCTCGTCAAACTGAAGAGGAATCTTGTAAAAGATTCCAGGGAAATGAAAAGCTCTTCTTTGGCTTTGATCTCTGAAGCTTCTTCAGTTGAAACTTCTTCTACCCCTTTTGTCTCTTCTTTTCCTCCCGTTGTTATCACGGAGATAGACTCTTCTATCTCTAAGGATATTCCAGAATCTGATTTAATAGATTTTGATGAGTCCCTGGAACTCCTAACTAAGTCATTTAGGAGGTTCGCCAGTAAGAGAAACTTCCACAGATCTCCTCAGCTGTCCCTTAGGGAAAAGCCAAAGTCTGAAAGAATAGAAAAGGCTTCAGCTGTCTGCTACAACTGTCACCGGCCCAGACACTTTGCAGGTGAATGCAGATCAAAGAAGACTGCGATGCCATCTTCTAAAGCTCCCTCCTCCTTCAGGACCAAAGATGAGATATACTCAAAACTGCAGGAGAAGTACAAGAAGATGAAGAACAACCAGCGAAAGGCTAAAGGCCTTATTGCTGAAGAGCATGACTGGGCTTAGTCATCCTCGGATGAAGATGATAAAGCCTATATTTGCTTGATGGCCATAGATGCAGATGAAGGATCTTCAGAAGCATCTACTTCCTCTGAGCCATCTTCTTCTTCTACTCAGGTATGTTTCCTGAATGAACCCTCTTCTTCTTATAGTCTTTCTGCACTGGATACGCTGACGGTTGACCTTTACAATACGCTCAATGGCAAATCGAAAACAGAAATGCTTAACGTTGATCTTCAAGAGCAATTGAAGATTTGCCATTTTAAGATCAAAGAACTGACCTCTGTCGAGGAAAATCTTAAAGATCAGGTTATTGTAAATCAAGTCATCACTGTTGAATGTGAGAAGGCTATCGCTGAGAGTGAGCGAGCAATCATTGAACTCAAGGCCGAGAAAGCTACCATTAAAGGGTGGTGCAAAGCTTTCATCAAGGCCTCTGAGATCATTAATGCTCAGATCCCCGCCAAGATAACGACTGGTCTAGGATTCTCCTATGATCAGGAAGAATGTGTTAAAGACATGTCCATGCTCAAGTTTGACACATTTGTCTCTTCTATTCCTAACACTTCTTCCTCTCAGTCTTCAACTTTTACTGAGAGTCATCTTGAAGGAACTCCTTCGAGTTCTAGATGCAAAGACAAAGGTAAATCTGTTGTCACGACATCCCTTCCCAAGAAGTCTAACAAGTCTAATAGATCTAGGTCTATTCCTTCAGCTTGTAAAGCTTCTTCCTCTTTAGGGACTAGGAAATCTGAATCCCATCAGAAATCCATGTCACAGTTCAAGGTGAACTTTTCACTTAAGGAATCCAATTCCTCAAAGGTTCCTCCAAGAACCAATGAGAAGGGAATCCTTGGAGCTGGTCCCGCTTCTAGTCTGATACTTCCTGGCCCTAAAACTACTCTCAGCTTTAGGAAGTGTAAACACTGTGGTGAGAAAACACATATTGCCAGCAAGTGTCCTTCTGCCGCCAAAGTTGGTTTGCCAGCTAAGGGCAAGAAAGTAACCAAGGATGAGAAATCAACCAAGGCGAAATCATCCATAAAGGCTGCACAAGCAACCAAGGTGAAGAACACCGTTGAAGCCTCTTCTTCAGGTTCAGCGAAGACAACTCCTGCTGAAAAATGTTCAGCATCAGACGTTGTAGTTCCTACCACTGAAGCCTCTTTGTCAGGCTCAGTAAAGACTTCCACTGAAACTACCTTAGTAGTGTCAGAGGTTGTTCCTCTTTSCACTCAAACCTCTTCAGGTTCGGTGATGCCATCTACTGATGTTGGTTCTTCAACATCAGAGGATGAAGCCTCTAACAAAGCTGGACCCCAATAGCTGGGTACCAATAGCATTCTTATTTTGTTTCCTTGCTCAGGATGTCAAAGGCATATGGTATCTTGATAGCGGATGTTCAAGACATATGACTGGAGATAAATCCCTTCTATCTCATTTCAAGGAWGAAAGAGGACCTTCCGTAACCTTCGGTGGAAATGGAAAAGGATATGCCAAAGGTTTTGGTATATTAACCAACGGTGCAACAACTTTCAAACGCGTTGCATATGTTGAAGGA